GAATGATGGCAATAATAAACTGTGAAGCACCTGTCTACCCCAGGATATGTTTTATAGCTGTGTTTATTATAACATTAGAAGACACATCGTATCCAACTATGTACACGTATGTGTATGTCCTGTGCACACACACACACACACACTCACACACACAAACACTGATAACAGTGTGCTTTTTTTGGATGTCACGTGTTGTTTGTGTACAGTTAGTTTCTGTTATATGTATCTATTGTGTGTGTTGATGAGTGTGAGTGTGTCAGTGTGTCATGTAGACCCAGGCATTGGAAGCCGTGCCATTATGTCTGTGTGTATTTGTTCTAGGGTGCAAAACGATCAGTTGGCGGCCATCTTTCTCCTGCTGATGCAGAACCAGGAGGCACTAGGGGAGGTGACTGAGGGAGACATGGAGGAGCAGCTCAAACTCTACTCCCTGTAGTCTGGGAGAATGGAGAGTTGACCCACATGAGCAGAATGGGGCGGTGCTGTTATTGTCAACCTCTCAACCTTGTATAGGGCTGAATAGCCTGTTCCCCCTTTTTAGAGTGCAGGTGTCAAGCAGAGCAACTGTCAATGTATAATACAGTATGTATGTTTGACTTATCGTGTCAGGTCAGAATGATCCAAAACAGACAAAGACAATATGTTTAATATTGTGAGATACTGTAGAGTGATAGGTTAAATGGCATTACCTATAAGACCAAAACAAATTGTACAATACTTGAATGTAAAACACAATATTAGGTAGGTGTTCCTAATGTTTTGTACACTCAGTGTATATGTTTTTCAGATATTCTAAACACTCCATATTTTGAATCAAATGTTTTTAACGGTTGATCAGGGAGGTCTGAGTGTGAGATCTACCCTTTACATACTGTGTGGAGATATTTTAGTAGTTTGTTTAGAGTCTCAAGCTATGAGGTTTTAATAGTTAGTACCACAGGTGGCTGGTGGCACCTTAATTGGGGAGGACGGGCTCATACTAATGGCTTGAACAGAATAAATGCAATGGTATCGAACACATCAAACACATGGTTTCCTTGTGTTTGATACCATTCCATTCACTCCAATCCAGCCATTATTATGAGCCGTCCTCCCCTCAGCAGCCTCCTGTGGTTAGTACTCTGGTGTATCTTTTTACCATTTATTTTATTAAATAATATGACACTCAAAACAGGTTGTGTGATCATGATTTTTTTTATGTTTGTTTGAGTGATAACACTTTCATTTCAACTCTCTGTTTCTACACTGTATCATGATTTCAAATTGGGCTAGTTTTAGATATTTTTTCAGTAAGTCTAACACCAACATTATTTTGCTAAACTTCTATAAGAAATAGCAAGCTATGAAATGTAAAAATGTTTAAACAACTTTTATGATTGTGTCACATGAACACATACAAGTTGTTTATGCCTTGTCCAATGTTTCTCTGATTATGTGTTGTACATGTGAAACCAGGCAAGGACAAATGAGGTAGGCTACACTGATATGGTCTAGCTGTTTTGACCACACCACAACTAGATGAGTAGTCTTCCCATCTACTGTTTGTCACACTCTTATCATTCCTCTGTGGGGTGGTACCACTAACATGTTTGAAAAAGTTACACAGTACATGTTTGAAAAACACCTTATAAAAAAATATAGTTGCTCAGATCGTTATCAAAGTCATGCAATGTTTGTGTTTATGTCATAATAAATTTCAAGGCATAATTATAATCACTTCCTAGTATAAATTGGCTTCATCCTCATGCCATAACTTTTGTAAGCTGTGTTGGCATCATTCTACATAGCACCACAGGTGAGTATTAGTTAGAAGACAGAGACAATGGAGAAGATTAAGGACACCCAGTTTGGATCAGAGAAGAAGTAGGGGTTTTAGTGGAATACCCACAGAATTCAAATGAAAGTCCTACTCCAGTGTCAAAGCGGGCGTAGGTGTGGTGAAGGAATCAGATGCAGGACACAGATGCTAGTCCAAAAATACTTTAGTAAAGTCCACAGAATGAACGGCTACAAACAGAGCCGGAGGCACGAGAAAAATTAACGCACACAGCGTATAAATGCAAAACACGCACAACAAGTGCGGACTCTCTATCTAAAACAGAATAGAGCACAAACTGACAGGAAGCACCTGCTGACAAGGAACAACTACACACGACCACAAGACAGAAACAACGACAACTTAAAGGACACATAATCAAGACAAAATGAGAAACAGGTGTACCAAAACAGACCAAACCAAACAAACACAGAAACAACGAACGGTGGCAGCTAGTACTCCGGGGACGACGACCGCCGACGCCTGCCCGAACAAGGAGAAGGAGCAGCCTCGGCCGAAACCGTGACATCCAGTCTCCTTTTCCGCTCATTTATCACCTGATTTACTTAATAAAAGGCATATCTCAATAGGTGGTCCAGGTATCCTCTGACACTATTGTGGGGATGTAGCTCAGTTGGTAGAGCATGGCGTTTGCAACACCAGGGTTGTGGGTTCGATTCCCACGGGGGGTATGAAAAAAATATATAATAATAATGTATGCACTAACTGTAAATCGCTCTGGATTAGAGCGTCTGCTAAATGACTAAAATGTAAATGTTCCTCAATCAAGGTGGGAGGCCGATGACATCAGAGGGCAACATATTTTTTGTTGTTGTTGCTTTTTTTACCCTTAAAGCCAAGCTCTGCACTTGGAGAAACAGCCCCAGGCACATGTATTATTGTTTTTGTTTTGTTTATTAAAGCCACAGTTAAGTCAAAAACGTGATTTTCCTGTGTTTTATATACAGGCCGTTTACCGGCCCGTTTATTAGGTACACCCATCTAGTACCAGTTCGGACCTGTTGGTGATCATGTGCCCACTGGAGCCGCTTCTTCTTGTTTTTAGCTGATAGAAGTGGAACCCGGTGTGGTCGTCTGCTGCAATAGCCCGTCCGTGACAAGGATCGACATGTTGTGCGTTCCAAGATGTAGTTCTGCACACCACTGTTGTACTGAGTTGTTATTTGTCCATTTGTGGCCCGCTTGTTAGCTTGCACGATTCTTGCCATTCTCCTTCGACCTCTCTCATCAACGAGCTGTTTTCGCCCACAGGATTGCCGCTGACTGGATGTTTTTTGTTTGTCGCACCATTCTTGGTAAACCCTAGACACTGTTGTGCGTGAAAAGCCCAGGAGGACGGCCGTTTCTAAGATACTGGATCCAGCGCGCCTGGCATACTACGCTCAAAGTCGCTTAGGTCACTCGCTTTGCCCATTCTAAAGTTCAATCGAACAGTAATTGAATGCCTCAAAGCCTGTCTGCCTGCTTTATATAACAAGCCATGGCCACATGACTCACTGTCTGTAGGAGCGATCCATTTTCGTAAATGGAGTGGTATACCTAATAAACTGGCTGGTGAGGGTATATTTCCACACTATGAGGTTGGAATAATACTGTGAAATTGTGAAAATTATGATAATGCACTTTTAGTGTAAGAGCTGTTTGAAAAGACTGCCTGAAATTTCAGCCTGTTTTGGTGGGAGGGAGTTTTGGCCTTCCATGGTGACATCACCATGCAGTAAATGATTTAATAGACCAATAAGAAAAAGAGTTCCAAACCTCTCTGCCAATAACAGCTAATTTTCAGTTTTCCCCTCCCCACTCACACCACTCCCAGACAGTCCTAGCAAAATTATTGCTTGAGAAATTGCCCTTTGCTAAGAAGCTAGTTATTTTTTTGTTGACCATTTTAATTGAAAACCACAGTAATGGATTTAATTGTTACCCAGAAATGATTTGATATTGAGATAAAAACGACTGCATTGGACCTTTAAACGGCAGAGGAGCTCCAGCAACAACAAAAAAAATCTGAGTACATACTCTGCTGTTCCATTGCGTGTGCAATGATGTCTGCCGGAAAAAAACTGTGTTCATTGTCTGAAGTAAGGTCTTTGCTGTTGTAATATCGCAAATGAACGTGACAGTTTCACCGCTACGGATTCCAATTTTAAGTGTGTGTACATTATTGTATTTAAACGTGGGATTTTGTTTTAGAATTGGAAAAGTTCAAAAATAGCTGGAGTGCGTCTTTAAATTACATTTCTATGGGAACACCACTCATTCCCATCTCTGCATTAAATAAATTCTGGTATGCAGCAGAGTTCCCATTCTGATCTGTGCTGCATTCTTCTGGTCTGGACAGGAATCACCTTGACATCAGCTGTTGGTCTCTCGGTGCTCCCCCTGGCCCTTGGTTATTTATCTAGTCACGGAAGGGAAAAGGGGCTCTACTGGTTGAAGGTTCCTGTCATCAGCTGGAGACCAATTAAAACCCAATCCTATTCTGTCATGCTGGAAAATGATTTCTCAGTCCATCTGCAAATCTATGTAATTACTTACTCCCCTCTATCCATCCCACTCTGTCATTTCTAGATCACAAAGGATGTGTTTACACAGGCAGCCCAATACTGAACTTTTGTCCACTAAATTGTATTTTGACCAATCACATCAGATCTTTTCACATCAGGTATTTTTCAGAGCTGATCTGATTGGTCAAAATACCAATTCGTTTTAAAAAGATCAAAATTCTGCTGCCTGTCTAAACGCAGTCTAAGTAACGTAATGCATCTGAATTTATGAGAATTCTTATATGGCACGGTCTCATAACTCCAAAGACAAGGCCTTAAAATCCTAGCTACAATGGCACCTGTAATAAACATGTAGTGCATGCATGTAGACTACGCTCTCCTCAAATTGTAGTCTAATCATGTATCAAATTTAAGCAAGTTGAAAAGGTAAAAAGGTAGTGGTTATAAAGAATCATTGAAACGCAAGCCAGCCCGAATTTCCCTAATTATGGCCACACCTCTTTAAACTGCCAATTAATGTGAATTGCGACGTTTCCATATAAAGAAACCCCACACACGAGGAAGGTGCACTGACAGTTAAAAATAAGAAAACAGGAAGGAGACAACACAATCATACTCTGAGGGACAGATCAAATTCTGACCGAAAAAAGACGCAGAGGGAAAACATGGTATTGCTCCTGTTGTGCACAACACGTGGGTCATTAAGGATATGGACCTTGTTCGCCCAACTGACTCACCTGGGATTTAGAGCAGGAAATGACTTGTAACTGGAAAGTTAAACTCAAACTTTTTTTATTTTTTTACTGAAACAGCACCAGATATTATGTTCTCAAGTTTTGAGAAATATGACGATTTCTTTGAGGAAGTGTGTCTTCCTAGTAGGGGCTTTATGTGTAAGTTTGACTATAACTACGATTATGTATGGACAATACTATGACCTGAACTTCTTCCACGACAGACTTGCGAACAGGTAAATATTCTGCGACTTCTGAAATTGTTTTCCCGCTCAAATATTTGTAAGTTCTAAAACGTTTGTAGAATGTAATCTAGGCTACTTACTTATTTAATTGGAAACCATTGTCCAAAAAAATCCAATCGCATGCAAATCGACTACCTGCATCTGTCTTTACCTCGGTATTCTACGACCTGTTGCATTCAACTGGGACATTGACACTCAACCGACTGCTACTGTAGTTTTCTGGTGTCTTATTGTGGAATGGTTCGATTTTGGCAGATGAGATTACATTGATGCATTTTTGGGGGGGGAGTTTGTAATAATCCGTTTCCCATTCATAAAACTCCACCTTCATTTTTGCAGCTGAAAGTTGAAACTCAAATGTTTTACTAAATGAGAGGACGTTTGAGGTTCCACTGTTGCTGGTGTCTTTAAAGTTATGCTTGTCAAGCTCTGAATTTGTGGTAAGGCCACTGACTAGGCTAATGTGTCTAACGGATTTGTGCTCTATTATATCCCACAACTGACCTCGTTTTTATTGATGTTCAGACCTGTCCTGAAAGAACAAAATAATGTCTACATTACAGTTTAGACATTGTTTGTGCTCCGGTTTTTAAATTGTGGATGTAGATGTAATATTTTGATTACGCAACTCAGACAGCAGTAATTATCACAACTACAACAACACTTTTATGGCAGTCATTTGAACTCTAATCTGAATTGAAGTCAGGTGTCTTGTCACTTGTTTTCCTCTGTTCCAAGGAAAGGTCCCTTTTTTTAAATGCATGTTTGGAATTGTTTTGATGGGTTGAATTTGTCAGGGTCTCAACTTACTGTTGAGAGTTAAAATGGTAGAATACATCAAGTGGAATTCTGAAATTTGGTTCTGCATCAGCAGTTTTCCTCTTATGTCACTCAATTAGCCCATGTCAGCTATTTTTTACATTTTATTTTAAGTTAGTTTTGCAGCCAGCTATCTAAACTTAGTTGAATTACCTACCACTGGGCCCCCATTGATTTTGTTAGTCACTCTGTCAGATGTCATATTAAAAACTGCCCTTTTCTCTCTGCCACATGTCAAAATGAGTAGAAATGTACAGAAATTACACTTCAAATTTTGCTTAGGGTCCCCAAAAGGCTAAATATAATATATATATATATATATATATATATATATATATATATATATATATATATATATAACTGCATGTGTGGGTACGCAGACCCGCGAGCCATGAGGTTAGATTTTGTGGGCCCCATCAAAGTTGCCCATCCCTGATTTAAACAAATCCGCTGGATTGGACTGATGTGCTTCTGTCAACTTAACAAGGTTTTGTGTGGATTTAACTCTTTGTTGTGCATTTTCAATACATGGTTCTCCTCAGACTTGACTGCCCTTGACCAGCACAAAAACATCCTGTGGCGTACTGCATTAGCATCAAATAGCCCCCGCGATATGCAACTTTTCAGGGAAGTTAGGAACCAATATACACAAGCAGTCAGGAAAGCAAAGGCAAACTTTTTCAAACAGAAATTTGCATCCTGTAGCACTAACTCCAAAAAGTTTTGGGACACTGTAAAGTCCATGGAGAATAAGAGCACTTCCTCCCAGTTGCCCACTGCACTGAGGCTAGGAAACACTATCACCACCGATAAATCTACAATAATCGAGAATTTCAACAAGCATTTTGCTACAGCTGGCCATGCTTTCCATCTGGCTACCACTACCCCGGCCACCAACTCTGCATCCTCCGCTGAAACTTGCCCATGCCCCCCCCCCCGCTTCTCCTTCACACAAATTCAGACAGCTGACGTTTTGAAAGAGCTGCAAAATCTGGACCCCTACAAATCAGCTGGGCTAGACAATCTGGACCCTTTCTTTCTAAAACTAGCCGCCGAAATTGTCGCAACCCCTATTACTAGTCTGTTCAACCTCTCTTTCATAACGTCTGAGATCCCCAGAGATTGGAAAGCTGCCGCGGTCATCCCCCTCTTCAAAGGGGGTGACACTCTAGATCCAAACTGCTACAGACCTATATCCATCCTGCCCTGCCTTTCGAAAGTATTTGAAAGCCAAGTTAACAAACAGATCACCGACCATTTCGAATACCACCGTACCTTCTCCGCTATGCAATCCGGTTTCCGAGCTGGTCATGGGTGCACTTCAGCCACGCTCAAGGTCCTAAACGATATTATAACCGCGATTGATAATAGACAGTACTGTGCAGCCGTCTTCATCGACCTGGCCAAGGCTTTCGACTCTGTCAACCACCGCATTCTTATTGGCAGACTAAATAGCCTTGGTTTCTCAAATGACTGCCTCGCCTGGTTCACCAACTACTTCTCAGATAGAGTTCAGTGTGTCAAATCGGAGGGCCTGTTGTCTGGACCTATGGCAGTCTCTATGGGGGTGCCACAGGGTTCAATTCTTGGGCCGACACTTTTCTCTGTGTATATCAATGATGTCGCTCTTGCTGCTGGTGACTCTCAGATCCACCTCTACGCAGACGACACCATTTTGTATACATCTGGCCCTTCATTGGACACTGTGTTAACAAACCTCCAAACGAGCTTCAATGCCATACAACACTCCTTCAGTAGCCTCCAACTGCTCTTAAACACTAGTAAAACTAAATGCATGCTTTTCAATCGAACGCTGCTGGCACCCGCCCACCCGACTAGAATCACCACTCTTGACGGGTCTGACCTAGAGTATGTGGACAACTACAAATACCTAGGTGTCTGGTTAGACTGTAAACTCTCCTTCCAGACTCACATAAAGAATCTCCAATCCAAAGTTAAATCTAGAATCGGCTTCCTATTTCGCAACAAAGCCTCCTTCACTCATGCTGCCAAACATGCCCTCGTAAAACTGACTATCTTACCGATCCTTGACTTCGGCGATGTCATTTACAAAATAGCCTCCAACACTCTACTCAGCAAATTGGATGTAGTCTATCACAGTGCCATCCGTTTTGTCTCCAAAGCCCCATACGCTTCCCACCACTGTGACCTGTACGCTCTTGTTGGCTGGTCCTCACTACATGTTCGTCGTCAAACCCACTGGCTCCCGGCCATCTATAAATCACTGCTAGGCAAATCCCCGCCTTATCTTAGCTCATTGGTCACCATAGCAGCACCCACCCGTAGTCTGCGCTCCAGCAGGTATATCTCACTGGTCATTCCCAAAGCCAACACCTCCTTTGGCCGCCATTCCTTCCAGTTCTCTGCTGCCAATGACTGGAACGAATTGCAAAAATCTCTGAAGCTGGAGACTCTTATCTCCCTCACTAACTTTAAGCATCAGTTGTCAGAGTACCTTACCGATCACTGCACCTGTACACAGCCCATCTGAAATTAGCCCACCCAACTACCTCATCCCTATATTGTTATTTATTTTATTTTGCTCTTTTTGCACCCCAGTATCTCTATTTGCACATAATCTCTTGCACATCTAGCATTCCAGTGTTAATACTATTGTAATTATTTTGCACTATAGCCTATTTATTGCCTTACCTCCATAACTTGCTACATTTGCACACACTGTATATATATTTTCTGTTGTATTTTTGACTTTATGTTTTTTACCCCATATGTAACTCTGTGTTGTTTTTATCGCACTGCTTTGCTTTATCTTGGCCAGGTCGCAGTTGTAAATGAGAACTTGTTCTCAACTGGCTTACCTGGTTAAATAAAGGTGAAATAAAAAAAAAATAAAAAAAACATGTGTTGTCTTCTCCTTCCAGTCAAGACACAGAGTTTGATAACATTTGGACTCGCGATGAGGAGCTTTGGGACAACACCACAGCAACTGGTGAAGAGAAGGTAATCGCACAGAGATGATGTAGTTGCCTCGCCTCTAATAGAACAAAGGCACACGTATACGTCTTGTACAGTACAATGTCAAGTGAGGTCTGTCTCTCTACTCAACTAGAGGGTTTGTGTCCTCTGAGAAAAGCAGTGAAGAAGGATGACTTCTTCAGACTACGCTTTAACTTTAAAGTGCCTGTGCTGCAGTGGGCTGGGAGCTTCAGCCATTCAGAGTGGGGGCGATTGGAGAAGTATATGCCCCCCTATGGCTGGAAGGACCTGCCCCAGGACGGTATGAACATTCCCTCCAAGACCCTATTTAATAATCTCAACAAAACTACGGGTATATTGTATATAAACACATTGTCCTCTCTCCTTTTTGCTTCTTTGTTTTTGATCAGTTGTGAGATCCACTTTGGCCCTGCTCAACGACTCATCCAGCAGCCGCCTGTTTGAGCGCAGGTGGCCTGATCAGTGTGTCCGCTGTGCTGTGGTAGGAAATGGCGGCATCCTTGGAGGCTCCAAACAAGGCAGGGCCATCGACAGTCACCACTTTGTCTTCAGGTCAGTAGTGCTGCTGCAGCTCCCCTTTGACCAGCTTCAAAAACCTATTAGACTTCTCTTATTGCTCTTTGACATAACTAAGATCACATTTGTTTCAATTGTAAATATTTCCTTATATTGATCCACTTAATTTATAAGCAAATGCAAAAGTAATAGACTGATGGTAAATTATTTATTCCAGGGTCAATGGGGCAATCACCAAGCACTTTGAGGAGGACGTGGGCACAAAGACATCTTTCTATGGGTTCACCACAAATACTATGAAGAATTCCCTCAAATTTTACAGAAAAGATGGCTTCACCAAGGTCCCACGTGGGCGGGTAAGAACTTGTGGGACAGGCTACACGCAGCGTTTCCCAAACTCTGTCCTCGGGGCCCCAAGGAGTGCATGTTTTTGCCCTAACGCTACACAGCTGATTCAAATTATCAAAGCTTGTTGATTATTTGAATCAGCTGTGAAGTGCTAGGGCAAAAACCAAAACATGCACCCCTTGGGGTCACGAGGACCAAGTTTGGGAAACCCTGGGCTACAGTGTTGAATCCGGTCCATTCTAAAGTGTTAGGAATTTGTCACACTGAGTGGTTGTTTATGCAACTATTCCTTAAAGCTTTGACTATTTCCTATCTGCAGAGAGGCAGATATATCTTCATTCCATCCAACGAACGTGACTATGTGATGATGTCAGCTGCTATCCAGGGTCTCACTGTCACCTCCGGTCATGACAAGGGGGACTGGTGAGTTGAGAGGGTCATTAAGAAGAGTAGTACATTTGAACAGCATGATACAATGGTGTGTTACAGTACTGTGGTCAAGGAAAGTACAACGATCTTGCACTTATGCTGGTGAATGGGTTTATCTCCGCTGTAATTCACCACAAGATGGTGCCGTTGTATTTCTATGAATGTAGTGCTGTGCGCAATGGATAGAATCTTGTGAGTGGTGGTATGGCTGTAGGCATACAATTCATCTTGATGATACTCGTCTTTGTAAGCTCCCTTGCTATTGATTATTGACTTTTTTTCAGGTAACGTTCTTAATGGAAAATGTTTTTTCACCTAATACTACATTTGTCCCCTCAAACAGGCCCTCTCAATACTTTGGATTTAAGCCACCAGTTCAGCACTTTAAAATGCTTCATCCAGATTTTATTACATATGTAACGCAAAGGTAAGGGGACTCGTATTGCCAAGTCAAATTGAGACTTTTAGATAATTATTGGCTGCTTTTAACATTGATGACTATTGACTGTCAATGCTGCACAGGTTTCTGAAGTCTCCCCTGCTGAAGTACAGTCAGCTCTACATGCCCAGCACTGGTGCTCTGATGCTTCTGACCGCCCTGCACATGTGTGACCAGGTCAGGTCACATCACCACACACTTTGCCATTGGTCACTGTTTTAACCAACCAAGTGTCTAATGACATATGGCAAGTATGGAAGTGATTTATTGGGAAACCATGACATCCTGTTTTTATAGTCCTGGTATAGACCTCATATACAGTTATTCCATATTGATTGTGTCAGATTTAATTAACATAATCCTGCAGCAACTGTAAATGTGGATTATAATTTAATGGACATTTTTGTAGGGGTTGATACATATTTTTGTAAGGGAAAATGAAGTCTGAAATGTGAAAGTGGAAATGACACTTCAGAAGCCTTTTTAAATGTCAAATACACAAGTTTAAATGTCCTGCTTTGCAGGAAAGTTCTCCTGCAACAGGGTGATCAAATTAAGATCCTACATCTGTATTGAAGGCTAGATGCTATACTGAAACTGTATTATAGCCTGAACTATGCATGCAAATATTTACACAGCTGACTGAGAATGCCATTCATGCATAAGTGAACAAATCTCCTACCCTCCTGCAGGTGTCTGCCTATGGTTTCATCACAAAAAACTTTGCAGACTTCTCTGACCACTACTATGATGCTGTGAAGCAGCCCTTGCGCTTTTATGCCAACCACGACATGCAGATGGAGAGCTGGCTGTGGGAGGTACTGCATGCACAAAAAGTAATGTCACTGTACAAGAGGACAAAAGAGAAATGATGGACACTCAATTGTATTTTCATGTGAAAAGCCTTCCTTGACATGCTGTTAAAACTCCTATGTTTGCCATGGCGGTAGTCCCTCTGAAGGAGTGGCCGCTGGAGTTGTGTGGCGTCCTTTGTCATTAGTCACACAGCAACATTAAAGGCCTTTGACGGTGTAAAGCCAATCTCAGGTGTCTGTTTGTGGGATCGGGCCTTTGATAATTTTAACAACCCTTATCTTCTCTGAAGGCAGGTACAGGGAGCCGAGACTATAGTCTCTCGGTCATTCCGCTTTCTCATTTTCCTGCAATGCCTATTCTCATTTGAAACTGTCGGTTTGACTGGGACTCACATTGAAAGCATTCGCATTATGAAGCAAGCAGTCCATTCATGCCAACCGTTTTGTAGGTGAGCTTTGACTTTCAGCCTCTTTGTGCAGTGCCTATCCAAGGATGGGTTACTCCAAGCCACAATAAAGACAATGTGACCCATTCTTGGAAGACTCAAGCTTTGATCTGCTGAACTATTGTTACATAAATGGATCTCCATGGCTGAGTGTCCTCAAGTGTCTGTTACAACAAATCCTGATAATCTAGCAGTATTGGCTAGTCTGTCATTAACTGTAAAAGCAAGATGATGACCACTTGTAACAAATTGTAGAAATGTTTTGGGAAAGCTGTGTTATTGCCATTTTCTGCCACTGACACCTGTGCAAAATGTTATGGGATGGCATCCCATGTGCAATAATTGTTTTCTTATTCCATTAGCAAATCTTTAATTTGACAAACCTAATTAAAGCTAGAGTTTTTAAGTGAAATAATAGCAAAGCAGTTACCCGGCCTCTTTTGGTAAAAAGCTGAGGGATGGGCCAGGAGAAATGTAACCACTCTCAAATTCATAGAGCTATGGATGCAAGGATTGACCAGCCATGATATCAACATTATAGTTGTAACCATGTTTTGAGGCTATACAGTTTGTTTACATACATTTACATTGTTCACAAACATATTTTTGGTTCTGATGGGGTACAACAGTTGAACTAAGCTTATAAGCATTTACGTTATCTTCTTCAATAATCAATTCGTATATATTTATGTCCAAAAATGTATGTACAACTAGGGATTCTAGCTTTAAACTTTAATGTAGTGCATGTTATGGATTAAAAAAAATATAAATAGTTGGTTCGTGATAGACAATGTCGAGGTTATGACATCTTTGATGGAAAAATATCCCTACTTCATATGTGAAGTCGCACTGGCGCGAGTTGGGACGCACTGCTCGCTCTTTTTGGAAGCGGAGGAGGGGAAAGCGGGGACAGAGGACTGTAGGAGGGACGAACACATTCTAGATTGGATCTGGCGGAGCAAGTGACAATATAGCGGAGTCTGGCTTTCGCGTCGGAATTGGAAAATATTGCATCAAATTATACAAACTGTTTTATGTATTTTTATATTTGACATATATTGGTGATACGTAGGCTACGTGTTTAAGGGAAATAAGATTCGCTTTCTGTGGGAGACGGACTCAATTACTTTCCTTGAGTTATTGGAAGGCTACGATTACTTTTGCTTGTACCTTGGAGGACTCTGAAAAAAACTGCCACCTTGACATGTATTCCCGTTTTCTAAAATGCAACAACACTGTATAAGGTAAGACAAATGTGAATTTAAACTTCATCATCATAGATAAAGACAGGAATGGCCCCTACCGACGGGCTCGGAAAGCTAGTTAAGAAGTTCAGTCCGAAGGTCGCTAGCAAGCAAGTTAGCTTTGCTAGCTAGCTAGCCATGTTATTTTAGCGAACGAAGCAATCGCGAGACTGAAAAGTAGATACTAGCTGAAATGATAGGCTTGCTACATATGGAGCAAGAACTACTAGCTAATGGTATCTTTTCATAACCCAGTTGAAGTTGCATTGCACGTTTGCACCATGCTTTGTAATGTGTGTGTCTTATTTATGGTTATAGTTATCACTCAATTATAAAGTTCTTACAGTTGCATGAACAAAAATTACTAGGTCTACTTCTAAAAACACATTATTGGCAATAAATGATCCATAATCTGAATCATGCATCATGGTATAGTTCTCCATTGGGACCAGTGAAAAAAGTTGCACCCCATCACCAGCTACACACTCCAACCTCTCAAACACACATTCATATTGTGTGACCCCTTGCCAACAATGCAGCAAGCATGAAAAGACTGGCTAATGGCCTGGGGGGGAGGGAAGAGAAAGAGGACATGATCACTGTTATTGGGAATGACAGCTTTACTTACGCCCTGTGCACCTCTTTGGGTGTGTGGTGTACTCAGACTGCCAGGTTATGTAATGTAGCAGGTTATGTTCGCACAAAAAAACAGTGCAGACTGCAGAGCTGTGCTGTGCAGACACCAGTTCATTAGTGTGATCTTGCTGTGCACACTGTGAACTTTCTCAAAACGGTGTATGTTTATATAGCAACATTTTGCTGTACATGAATTTGCGGGCCAGGGTGATCTGAACTGGCCAGAGGAGATGACGAGTCTTCTCTCTAGCCCAGCTAAATACCATTCATTTTACTATTAGACAGCTCTGCAAGCGTTAAATCAAAATATGTTCGTTATACTCACCAAATATGGAGTTTTGCTGCGCAACTATGGTCATTTACTGCCTTCACATACTTCAAAAAAGGTGTAAATAAACGTTTTATCAAGTATATTTTGTGATACTGTACTGCTGCTGTATTAGCCGACCTGTGCGTGGCAGTAATGAGGAGAAGGGTGCAATTCGGGGCGTTCCTGCATGTGGGCATTCCTGCATCTACAGGAATACCTCTTTATACTTCTAGTTGTTCGTTTTTAAGTTAGGACAGGCAGGAGGTGGGGGCGCTCCAGTACAGTAGGTGGCTTTAATGCACAATAACTTTGGATGCCAGCCGCCGATAAACCCCACAGAGAAGGGGTGGGGGCGACAACAGTAGCTAGCTAGCCATACACCGGTAGACAGTGTCCTTCGCCTCCGCCTTTCGGGCACTGTTTTCCCGCAGTTCTGTTAACGACAGCGAGGGCAGGTGTTTGGCAGGCGTGAGCGAAGTACACTGTGTACAGACCAACAAATATTTTTTTCTAACATCATCCACATAAGAGTCACAGCAAAATCACAGCATGGGGCGGCGCGCAATTGGCCCAGCCTCGTCCAGGGTAGGGGAGGGAATGGCCGGCAGGGATGTAGCACAGTTGATAGAGCATGGCGTTTGCAACACCAGGGTTGTGGGTTCGATTCCCACAGGGGGTAGGAAAAAATAATAATGTATGCATTCACTAACTGTAAGTCGCTCTGGATAAGAGCATCTGCTAAATGACTAAAATGTAAATGTAAAAAATGTATGATCTCTTATACACTATTTTAAGCCCAGCTTTTGGAACTTTTGCTTTCCTGGATATAGCCTCTATATTGTGATCACTGCATCCAATGGCATACGGATAAAGCTTTTGAACAAAGTTCAACAGTATTAGTAAAAATGTGATCAATACATGTGGATGATCTTGTTCCTGTAGTGTTTGTAAACACCCTGGTAGGTGGGAGCAAAGGACACTGTTTACTAGTGTCGCTCCCGCTAGCTAGCAAGGAGGACTCCGGTACACAGCAGGCAGGAGGCGGGGGCGACACCGTGTGCTAGCAGGAATGCCCACATGCAGAAACGCCCCAAATTGCGGGCTGCAGTTGCACACTATTGGTAATGAGTGATTTTATTGGCGGTGCTGAAGAGTTGGATTTGGTGCATGCGCACTTGGTCAAAAACAATACATTCTTTCCAGACAAGACACATTTTTTCGGTTGCTTGTACATTTTTATTTAGACCTTTTTTGGAAGTACATACTGGGCGTGACTGCAATAAATGACAATAATTGCTCAGCGAAACTCCATATTTGGTGAGTAACGAACTTATTTTGACATAACGCTTGTTGAGCTGTTTAATGGGGAAATTAATGGTAGCTAACTGGGCTGAAGAGGGAACTCATCATATTCATCGTCTCTTCCTCTGCCCAGTTACTGGTTCAGGGTGATCGTGAACACATCACAATTTGCGTTATTGTACTTTCATGCACGAGTTCTATCTAATTCTGCTACCGTCTAAGTGCAACAAATATAGGTGAATTGTTTAAAAGCAACATAAACACTCCTAAACTAGGCTACTTCTTGCTCTCATTTCCCTCAACTGTTCTGGCCATTGGGCTGGAAGAGTTTAAGTAGCCTCCAATTCAATTGCATTTGGTACATGGTCAAGCATTGAAAATCTTATCACAGAGCCTCAGGGAAAACTGTAAATAACACCAGCTTACGTGTTGAAAAGGCTCTGAAAAAATGTCCATCATCCTCTATGGGCAAGTTGGTCTCTCAAGAACCATTTGTCCATAAAGTCCTGGTATGCACTGCAGTCATTAAACCAAATGTTTTCTCATAAATTGCACTGTTTATCAGACTTGTGTTGTTGTTGAGGAGGATGAATAGAGTAGGCTACATTTAATCTCAGATATTTGCTGCTCACCATGAATTATAGTGACAACGATGCGTATTTATGTATGTGAGTGAGATGTTAATTTTGTGGGGAGATTCTTTGAGTTTTCAGGATATTACTCCCTCCCTCACTGTTTTAGTTTCCTGAGAGGTAAAGGGCAGGGAAATGAATGAAAAACTGATGCTAGGCATGCTGGGCTTTGTGCCAAATTGTTTTTTCTTCCCAGTTTTTAATATTTTGATTCATTTCCAAATTAATAGACCCATAGCATTGGGGTGAAATTTTGTTGAAGCGTGGTAAAAACCCTGTTGCTGTTCTTTGGGTTGGAGCTTCCTTGTGGTTACACGCTTTCTGACGGCCCTGCTTTGGTTTCTCCTCCATGTGTTCTATAGCCATATGGGCATGTCTGTGTGGTTTGTCCAGTATTGAGTCTGCACTATGATATAGCCTATTAACCTAACTGTTATTCTCCTTTTCTCTGTTCTCAGGTTCTGGACTGCTGGTTCAAGCTGCTACATTCCAGCCTTCTCAGTGCTCTGACCACAGCACCCGCCGGTGCCCTCCAGCACATAAATGGTAGCTCCACATGACTCCAACCCCTTATACACTCTGTATAATAAAATATTTCGCAAATAAAGACAGAGAGAAAGTTGAACAGGAAATTTAAGCAGCAAAATAGATTTTCC